TTTTTTGAGACAGGGTCTCACTATGCAGTTGAGACCGACCTGGAACTAAGTAGCCCAGGCTGGTCTCGAACTCAGTGATCCTCCTGCCTCAGCCTCCCTAGTGCTGGGATCACAGGTGTGCGCCACCACGCCTGGCTTTTGGCTTTTTATATTTTTACATGACTTATTTTTCAGTGATTTTTAATTACCCCCCATCAAGTCACTGTCTTATAGTTACTTTAGCCATTGGATAAATTATAAACGATAAGCAGTTTCATTTTTAGAATATTCAGGTTAAGAAACCAGGAAGCTCACTTTACAATGAAGTCCAGGGCCTTAAGGACGATACCATACAGCAAGGCTCACCCCACATCGTCATAAGCTAGCAAAATGCCGAATGTGGAGAGAAAATGGACTTTCTTCTACTACTATTTACTTCAACAAGACAAGTTAGCTTAAAACCCAGTCCTAAGTGAAATAAATGTGTTGAAAGGCACGTGTTCCTGCTACCTTACCTCTCTCTGGGTTCTATCTCTCTCCTTTTATTTTCTAGACGAGGTAGGAGGTCAGGCAAATCTTGTGTGTCAAATGCAGCTGCTGTCCTATAAAGAAGTTTTAATGGAAAGCAACCGTACGGTTCTTTTACCTTTGGTGGTGGCACAGTCCCCTCGTGACGATGACCTAAAGGCCCTCATGGGTACAGTATCTATTACCTGGCCCTACTAAAAAGTTTGTGAAAAATTCTTTGGGTGTGGGGAGTGTGGCTCATGGCACACGGCACGAGTGCGGTCCTGGGTTCAATTTCCAGCCGTAAAAGAAACACAGGCACACACGCACCATCAAAAACCAGTCGGCCGAACCTGCTCTAGATGGGTGATGGCGAACCTTTTGGAGTTTTCAATGCTACCAAACAGCCAGGCGCTGCACGCGTGCCAGACGTTTGCCATCCCATCCCTGCGCCAGACTGTCAGGACGAAGTCTAACTAGAGAACTCCCCTTCGATTCTCCACCCCAGCACCAAGCTACTCGGACGGTTCTGCTCCTGTTTGTAAGTCCCAGTGAACAAAGCCTCCCTCGTAAGAGATGGCCACAGTCCACAGTGAGGGAAGTTCCAGGACAAGCTTTGCATGACATGAATATTTTCAGCATACTGCACAGGGAAGCACCTGCGATTTGGCTTTAGTTAGCTTTTGCCTTCTGAATGCGAACAGACCCTATGCTCAGAAAAATCGAACTGTACTAACGCTGCAAAGTAAACGATGCACAGTCTCTTCTCTAAGAGTACTCGTTACGTTTCTTGGTAGAAGGAGGGAGGGTAATGAGACAGGCAAGCAGACAGACGACACATAGAGAAAGAGGTTGTGAAAACGGACAGGTTTTTGTACTTGCTGAATCTGGGATCCATTTCTTATCAGTGCATTTGTTTCCTGTACACACAATGAACACACTCACCACGGGGACTCACAGATGGACAGGATGCTTCTCGATTCTTTAATCCCTTTTCTCCTCCCCGCTCCGACCCTCCTGCCCTCTTTCTTTACCAAAGCTCTAATTACATTTTCTCCTCACTTCTTTTCCTTTAACTCTCTTTTCCCTCCCCTCCCCCATCTCTTGGCCCCTTTCCCATGTGCCCAAGTTCTCCCTACTTCCTAGAACCTGCCCTCTATTTTGCACCCTATCTATACTTGGGGTTTCTCACACAAGAGAAACTGTGATTTCCAAACCTGCGGACCTGGTACACGGACTTCACTCAGGGTTACGGCCTCAAGGTGCATCCACTTCAGCTAACCACAAAATCAACAGCACTTGACGCCCTCGTGGACAGAATCAGTACCACTCACAGTTCTTCCAAAACGACAAAAAAGCTCAGTCTCTCACCTGCTGTTTCTATCGTCAATCAATTACACCCCCAAACGTGAAGCTGGCAAAACACGGTCTTTATATTTTTATGGATTTCTAAGTCCTAATTACTCTTCCTGCCATGAACTGACCAGGCAATGGGAGATACACAACTTCAATGCTGGTCTGTATAAGTATATTTTAAAATAAAACTATGGCTTTGCTTCAGATCAAACAAATGTAGTGAGTTTTCCCCTCCTTCATTCCTTTCTTCCTCGTCTCCTTTATTATTCTTAGATTCTGCCACTGAACACTGACAGTACCAGCACCGCGGCTCAGGTAGTGCACTGAACAAGCACAAGATATACTGACACCGCACTAGGCTTCGTCCTTCCCTTTGAATGCCAACTTCCTGTGACCGTGAACGGACACAATGTAGCTGCTGTACTCACTCATCCAACCTATATTTTATGATCTACTATACTGGTATCCACCCTGAAAAACAGCAGTCCTGGTTGTCTTAGAAAGGGGAAATAAACTGAGTACTAGATGTCAAGAGATAGTAGAGGGCAAATTAAAGCAGTTTAAGAGAATTGAGTAAGAAAGGGACTGCTTGAGAACGGTCAGTGAGGGTTTCTCTAATTGGGACTCAGGGCATAGTATTTCAGGCACATAAGGCAGATGCAAAGGCCCTGAGGTAGCAATTCACTTCGTATGTTCAAGAAACAGCAAAAAGCCCAGTGTGATAGGTATGGAGGGAATGCTGGGAATGTGGGTAAGTAGAGCCCCCAGGACACAGCATCACTGCAGTCCTGGAGCCAGGCTGGGCCCAGATAGGAAGACCTTCCTGGTCTCCACAGGCTCCTGGTCTCCACTAAGACTATAGCTTGGGGATGTGCACTTAGATAAGCTGCTGGCAACTACAGTCGGCCCGGTTCGGTGAGCTCCAGGCAAACTCAAGAAGCCACTGGAGATACTCCTAGAGGTAGGGCTGCCAGGTTTTAATTTCTTGTTGTTCTTGAAGCATAAAGAAGCAAGCCAAGAAAGTGGGGGACGGTAAGGAAAGGTAAAATACAAGAATCTGAGAAATGGTGAGGGTTCTCCCAGAGCTGCCATTCTTTTCCTTCAGGAGCAGTAATTTCAGAGCCCCCAGCTCTCACCTCCCCCGGACGAAGTCATCCGGGAACGCTACAAACAGAATCACCTCTGTGACCTAAAAACCAAACCCGAACAGCCCTGCCCCACTCCTGCAAGGTTCCGGTTCACATCTGAACTGGGACCTAGATTACAGTTCTCGGAAACTGCCACAGCGGAGCCCAACAGATTGCTAACACTGAGATGATTTGGGTCCAACAAATATCTTTGTTTTCTGAATCCTTTCTTTAAAATACCACTAGGGCTGGAGGTAGAGCTCAGAGGTGGGATACACGTCAAGCACAGGCAAGGCCCTGAGTTCAATCCCCAGGCCTGCAGAACACATATTAAAAATATCTCTAAAACCACTGACTGTAACCCACTGGTGTTCAGATGGCTAGATGGGCTAGGGAGAAATATTCTAGGCAGTCAGAGGGCTAAGTGCTCCAGAGGGCCAGGATGAAGGTGAAACGCACCACAGCTGCACGTCGGCTGGAAACCAGGCCTCAAGCTGGAGTCAGGATGACCAGACCCACACACTTCTTCAAAGAGCTGGGCGAAGCAGAGCGCAGATGGGCATCGGCCACCCCGGGGGTGACCAGAGACCTCCGGACCCACTGCCTCCTAGGAGAACCCTTGTTCTTTTCATCCGTGCTTGCTATGTGACTTGCCTCCCAATTGGGCCCCCATCACCTAAGCGACTACACCTGTAACTTCTGGCTGTCCATGGCTGTGGCTCACGTTGTACCACAGGGGCTTCACCCTATAAACTTCAAGGGGTCCCTGCCCCTCAGCAGCATTTCAATAAATATTGTCCTACTTTTAACCTGCGTCATTGGCAAGACTCATTCTTTGCTAGAAAACAAAAAACTGGGCATATCGTACAGCAACCAGGTTGAGAGAGAGATTCATTTCACATTTTTCTGCCACAGTCTAAAGAGGTGAAGTTGGTTAATAGCAAAGAAGGAATATAGAATCAAACGTATTAACTCTGTTTGTTGCTCTTCTAATTATAACTAATACTAGTTAAAATTCGAACATTTCCACACGTTTGCTGTATTTCAATAAAAAACTACATCTATTTGTAGGCTTAATGACATCAGCAGTAACACTGTAATTCTCTGACTCACACCTAAGAAGTACCCTGTCTCCACTTGTTCGAAGGAACAGAAAATTGGGTGACTTTTAAAATTTCAAGAACTCTTATTTTTCCATCAATTGAGAAAATGCCCGCAATTCTGGGCACGAAAAATGTTTAACCTGTGCTCAAAGAAAGCTTTTACCAAAGTACGCTAAAACAATTGGATGTTACAGCTGAATGAGCTGAAGGGTACGGATATTAACTGCAGGGTGTGACTGCTGGTCAAGCTATCCAACTGCGGTGCTGAAGTAACAGGGCACTCCACGCTGGCCAGTGAGGTCAAAGCTAGAAGTTTCACACCCTAGGCCTGTGGAAGATCCACTTGGGAAGTGACAAGAGAGACCGGCAGAAAGACAGCACAGGCAAAACTTTTCTTCTCTTTGATTTTGAGAGACAGGGTCTCACTAAGTAGTTGAGACTGACCTGGAACTCACTGTGTAGCCCAGGCTGGTCTCGAACTCAGCGATCCTCCTGCCTCAGCCTCCCAAGTGCTGGGATTACAGGCATGCACCACCACACCCGGCTTGGCAAAACAATTTCTTAATTCAGCATTCATTATTAGGTAACCCTTTGCACTGAAATGGGAAATAGTATCGGGAAGTATAAAACTTGATAGAAAACATCCCGGGACTCTGAGCCAGAATTCAGTCAACAGCTTTTGCTCCTCACTCTACAGCAGAAGGTGTACCCTTCATCTATACTGGCCACACACTTAACTCGTCAAAGACCAAGTTTGTACTATAAATGGATGGAAGTTCGATTTTAAATACGGTCCTGAGTCCCAGCACTCAGGAAGCTGAGGCAGGATGATCGCTGTGAGTTCGAGACCAGCCTGGGCTACACAGTGAGTTCCAGGTCAGTCTCAATTACACAGTGAGACCCTGTCTCAAAAAACAAACAAACAAACAAACAAACAAAAAAACCACCCTCTCAAAAAAACCTAGTGCAGAAATCTAAATGAATAGGTTACTTACTTATACTATGGATTAATTCTTTGAAAAGAACTTTTTTGGGACACAAATATAGAGTCCTTTCAGGAAAACAATATATTTACCTGTTTCCTTTAAGGAATTTATTTACTGACTCTATAAAATGAACCTTAAGAGATTATCAAGCAGGATAATCTCACACTCTTTGACTCACATTCTTTGAAAGACAGGGCGCAGTCATTACAGATTAGCACAGTAAATCTGCAACAAGAGGGCTCTGGAGGGTATTCAGTTGAAAGCCCAGAAATAACATGGACAAATAAAATTCACACACCTGCCTTGATGGAAATTTCTACACTCTGTTCCACTCTGGTTTCGGAGACCTTGTCTTGAATGTATCTTTTGGTCCCCAAAACCTAGCAAAGTCCCTCCCTGCACCCTTCACCCCCAACCCCAAGGGTGGAGTGTGTGAGGCTGAGTCACGCTGCACTCCCTCTCTGAACTCTGCCAGAGTGAGCTCATTAAGGACTCGCTGTACTACGATGACAACTGACAGCGAATGCAGAGGGCAGGGTATAAGAGAGCAGTAGGGGAGGAAAGCAAGGACCTGTGTGATGGTTTCCTCTTCCCTGGGTTTGGTGAGGTCAGGTTAAAGAATGTCATTTATTTCTTAGCAGAGCTCAGCAATGAGATACCTTATCGCAGCCAGGGTGAATCTTTCTGTAGCACCTATTACAGTCGGGTATTTATAATTTTTCAAAGTACTTTTCCAAGACTCTTATTCCACGTCCTCCTCACTATTCCCCTGTGAAGTATGAGACTATTTCACAGTTAAAACCACACAATTCAGACAGGAAAGGAGCAAAGGCAGCCCCTTCACTATAAAGCATGACGTCAAGAGAAAAATCACAGCGAACTTTTCCCACCAGGAGAGTGAAAGGCTGTACTTATTATACGATCAGAAAAACGTCCAGGTTAAAAACCACAGACAGTCTTTTTCCATAAAAATTTGACTCACAAAATATGCAATTTAATCAGTAGGTAATTTTTGAAAAAAAAAATATGCACAGCTTATCTAACTACTGTAGAACGCACAGCGTGCAAATTCCCTCAAGAAATGGATTCATTCCCTTGAACGCTGTTTCTGACATCTAATCTCCGGCAAACAGCTCACCTTAAAGGTCTTCACCATCTCTTCGGAGCCTCCTTTCCCCGTAGAGCATCCGTTACCGCGGTCCTTAAAGAAGAATTAAACCTCCATTAGTGAAAACTCAGGGGCCACCAGGGGCCTGAGCGGTCGGCCAGACTCACCATCGTCCCCCGGGGAAGTCGCTGGGTGCCCAAGCCAGGCAGGGCGGCACCAGGCAGAGTCCCGGGAAGGCGGCCCGGCCCGGCCCGGCTCAGCAGGACGCCTGGATTCAAGCCCCGTTCCGCCCAGGGGCTGAAGTTCACAAGCAGAGAAGCAGAAGCCAGTCGCCTCCCTCCGCCTCCGCGGCGCGGTCCGGACCGGGCGCTGAGCCCTTTATAGCGAAATCTGGGCGCGCGGGCCTCGTGGTCTTGTCAATCACCACCGCACGACAGCAGCTGGCGAATGGGACCGGGAGGGGCGCGCAGCACGCGCTCCAGGGCAGGGTCCCGACGCTGCCCACGCCCAGCCTCACACCCCAGCGCGAACCCTCGGCGGTGCTCGGCGCGATTTAAAGGCGACGACACAGCCGGGGTCGCCGGTGCACGACTGTAATCCCAGCACTCGGGAGGCCGAGGCAGGAGGATCGCTGTGAGCTGGAGACCCGCCTGGGCTGCACCGGGAGTTCCAGATTAGTCTCAAGGACACAGTGAGACCCTGTCTCAAAAGACCAAAATAAATAAATGAATAAATAAAATAAAGGCGACGACACAAAGAAGCGGGGCCGGTCAGGGAGAGGTGCGGATGGTTACCAAAAAGAGAAAGAAAGAAAGGGGGCCCGGGGAGGCAGAGGCTGC